AAATTTTGTTTTTTTTTTTTGGGGGGGGGGGGGGCGCCTTATTATGTAAATTATGCAACTCAAATACAATGTAACGACACACTCCCATGACGATGTAACTGCGCAACTCACATATAATGCGATGACATATATGAAAGGTGTTGTGCAACAAACCAAGTACAAGATGCAATGACACACCCTGATGACGATGTAACAATGCACATTATATGTGGTGCGGCGATTCCTCTCAAAAACAATGTAACAATGTACCATGAATATTGAGCAACGACACTTCGCAAAGATGTTGTAACCATCAAACCCAAAATACAGTGCAACAAATTCTCTGATGGCGGTGCAACAACACACCTCATATACAGTATAACGATGTCTCCCAAAGACAGTGTAATAATATACCTTGAATAAGGTACAACGACAAACACTGATGACAGTGTAACAAAGCACACAAGGTACAGTGCAACAAAACCTCCTAAAGAATGTTTAATAATGCATCTCATAGATGGTGACTTCTCCATGCTCTTAAGTCCCTCTCCATGCAGCTCCCAACTTCGACCTCTACGGTCTATAGATCTTATCGCAACTCACAACTAGGGTTTGTGTGACTAACTACGTCCTACATAGCTCATAGTCATTGCAGCTCCCGACTCCAACCTCTGCGACCTACAGATGTCATCATAACTCACAACTACAACTTATATAATTAAGAATGACTTGTATGGCTTACATCTTGTGCAAGTCTCTACAATGGTCTCAGTGGCTTAGGGATGTCATCATAGCTCACCACTATGACCTAGGTAAATTACAACTTGTGCAACTTATGCCTCCAGCTCTTGAGGCTTACAGACATCATCACAACTCACCACTACGACTTATGTGTCAAACTATAGTCCATGTGGCTTACAATGGGTGCAGCTCCCAACTCTGGCTTTTGAAGTCTACGATCGTCATCACATCTCATCTCTATGGCCTACACAACTAATTACAACATTTGTGGTCCACAGCTTGTGCAGCTCCTAACTCCAACCATTGCCTCTTATAGACATTGTCACAACTTACCACTGTGGTCTACATAGTCCACATCTCGAGTAGCTTCTGATTTCGACCCCAATGACCTATGGACATTAAGACTGTAAATAAGTCAATTCGAGCTCGAGCCACCCTTAGCTGGAGCGTGAACTTGATTAATTTTGTCGTGTTCAAGCTCGAGCTTGAGCTTAAGTTTACGAGCTTGAGCAAGCTCACGAGGCGATTTATTTATTATAAAAGAGATATAATGATATTAATTTAAGTTAGTTTTATAATAAAATAACAAATAAAATGAACAATTAGAAGATAAATAATATAAAATCACCTAAGATGCAATATAAAATATTGTTGTTTTTAAACATGTTTAATTCCTTTAAGATAAAGTCTTGATATTTAATATATTCTTAGTTCATTTTTTTTAAACGGACTGGCTTACGAGCTAACGAGTCGAGTTGGGGTTGGCTTAAGTTTCGCTTGTTAGATCATTGTTGGCATCAATATTTGATTTCTTCTACGTCTGACATGTTTTTTATGTCATGTTGTATTTTCTAATACGCGTGTTCTCGTGACTCAAAACGTCGAAGACAATCATTTTGGCGCAAAACAGGCTCAAATTTGATTTGATCGTCGACAAATTTGCTCGGACGATCTTGAATGACGAAACATACCACACGAGCGCGTCTGAAATGTTGCTTTTATCTAAAGTGGACACCCATATTAATGGAGTTTCGTGCATCGGTCTAATTCGACGCAATGAATGCATATCAAGGCCAAATAAGCTTGTCTGTTGACAAAATTTGTCCAAACGATCCCGAACAGTAAAACAAACAATGCGAGTGCATCCGAAATGTTGATTTTGCATAGGAAAAACACTCATATTATTGGGGTTTTGTGCACGAGTCTCATTAGACACAACACACGAAAATTGAGGGCAAATTAGCTCGTTCATCAATGAATTCATTTAGACAATCTCTAATAAGAAAACAGATTACACGAGCGCGTCCAGAATGTTGATTTTACTTCGGTATGACATTCATATTGTTGGGTTCCTGAAGTGAGTCACACGTAAATCAAAGCACCTGAATTTTAAAATAGTTTAAAATTAAAAATAATAATAATAAATAAATTATAGAATGAAAATGAGAAAATGGCACAAATATATACCAAAATCAAGAAAAAAAATATAGGATAAAGAAAATGGGAAAAAATATTATGTTACAGATTTCTTATGGAAGCAAACTAAAAGAAAAAAAAAATGGAAGATCCTCTCACATAAGGATAAAAAGCCTCACCTTCCCTCCCACACACTATCACTCCCTCTGTTAATTACGGATCTCCTTTTTTTTCTTCTTTAACTTAATATTTTTCTCTCCATCTTCTTCATATTTTTCTTCTTCTTTCTCTATCAAACGCTTGAGGAAAGATTTTGAATGAGCTGAGTTATTTTTTCGAGACTTATCAGCAAAGAAGTAAGGAGAGAGCGAGGAGGCAAGGAGAAAGTTGTTTGGAGAGGTTTTTGCTCGGAACTTAACCATTTTCTTTCTCTTCTTGCTAATTTCTTGTTCTCTTCTTCAAATCCACTTCACTTTCTTCTTCTTCCCCTTATTTTTCATGAGAAAATAGAGTGTAAGTGGGGGGAGGAGAAGCTTCTTGAAGGAGAGCACTCTCTCCTTGTAGAAGAAGAGCTTCATCCTACCTTGGGGAAGGCCAAACTCTGGTGAATGTCATTCTCTCCATCTAAGAGAGCTTCTTCACTACTTTGGAGACGGAGCTTAGAGTGTCAGGCTTCGTCATCTCTCGTACCGCGAGGAGAGCTTCATCCGAGACAAAGCGGAACTTTGATCACTCATCACGAGATAAAACCCTTCTAATCCATTATTCTTTATTTTCCTAACTAGGCATTTTAAAATCTGCTTTTAGTTTCCTGCAACGCCTTTGGGCTGGTTTTAAAAGGGGTTCCATGCATGACCATATTCTAAGTAATACTAATAGGGACTCCACATTATGACTCAAATAGATAACTACATCATATTGCATGTCTCGAGAAGATGCCCCCGTACTTCTCTTATCTGACTGACCCAACATAGATTTCTACTTAGGTGGTTGTTTAGTGCGCTAAGGGTGTAAGTCATTTGTTCGGAGTGTTCCAGCTTTGTAGATGAACCTCATTTTCTCTTCCTTTCCAGCGATATCATTGTCACTTGACGAGTACAAGTCTCGCCTTTTGGAGCTCAACCTGATAATCATATGATATAGTTTTGTTCCTTTGACTTTAGGGCTATCATGGTTCCCACAGATGATGCAATTCACAGATAACTAATTTGGGATCTCTGGACATGTTAGGTCAATTATCTTCACGACCAAGCAAATTTAGGGTCCTAGTGGCTTGAGATGAATGGTTTGTGATACCCTGATCCAACCACCTCTACCTATTTAAGGATTACTCTTCCCTTCCTTTAACTACCCACTTTGAGCCATGTCGCTTCTCTTGCTATCATTGTATCATCTTGATGACCCAATTACCGATGAGCTGCGACCTATTAGGGATACAACGATTTGCTCTCTGCACTTATAACCTAAAGGTGCTTTAATCTATCGGGATACCCTGTCATGATGATATGGCTCATGTGACGATGAGTTTGTTACCTATGTGGGACCATGAGAGACTCATTCTCTGCTCCGTAACTTAGCGAGAGCTTTGAAAACATCAAAACATTCACATGTGAAATAACTATCATTTGATAACCCGGTGCTAGTTGTCACTCTAAATGTAAGCAAAACTTTATGGATCAAGAGTATTATTGGCAACCCCAAGATGTAATTAATCAAGCGGGACACGTCCCCTCGTGAGCATTATGAACCCTAGAACGAACAAATACACATGAATCTCTAGTTGTGAGTAGCTTTCATAATCATTTTTTCATATATATTTGACACAAGTTATTTCAGTCAATGTTGTTCGGGTATATATGTTTGACCTATCTTAGCGAGATTTGTCGCACTGAAGTTCTCCAAGTTCTCTCTTTTGTTTGTTTGTCTTTAGTGTTTGTCATGCTCTTTCAGTTCCTCTCTTCTCCTTATCACTCACATGATCCCAAAGAGAAAAAATGTACTCAAAAATAAAACTTATACGACAATAGATAAACTTTTTACTCCTTAAAAAAATTACCAAAATGAAACTCTCAAAAGCTTTAAATAGATCAACATTTTTCACTTAAAAGGGGAAAGAGATAAAAGAGTGAATTGATTATTAAAACTTAACACATGAAGTCCTGGTGGTTATTGTCGGCCACCCGAGATCGCAACCACCAAAGTTCGTTGTTGACCGCCAAATGTCATAATTGACCACCAAAAGTCATCGTCGACCACCAACTGTTGTTTACCACCTCCAACTACGACTTTGATAGCCATACTATGACTTCTATAGCCAATTTCAGTTATTATAGCCTACTATGGCTTTAGTTGCTCTATTATGACTATTATAGCCATCAACTATGACTTCTATATTTAACAATGATTTTAATAACCAACTACAATTATTATAGCCCCACAACGGCTATAATAGTTAAACTGCAATTATTACAATCACAATTATCTTTAACAGTTATATTTGTTAGGTTATTACAAAACAGTTATGATTTTAAGATCATCATGTAATTAAAACTTCCCTAATCCAAGTAAATAGTGCATCTTTGTACTTCAGAATATATATTAGATTATTTTAACTGAGTGAAACTCCTTAATTTTTTTCATTTTATACTTTTTCACGTAAAAAAATTTGGTGTCCCCTCCATTCACGTATTATTTGTATGTCTGATGAATTTTCATGCAATGTTATGACATTAAATTATCGCCCTACCACTACGAAGTTACTAGCACCAAATAACTATAAATTGTGTAAGATTCATTCTATGTTAATAATTAGCTTTTCATGTTAATTATAAATGTTAAAAAATTTAAAAATAAAAAATAATAAAGATTTACATACATATCACGGACTCTTATGTAATTACATATCTAAAACCTAAACTTCAATATTTACATATATGCCACCTAAACATTACAATTTAAATAAAAGTTATCTATAATTTTATTTAATGAGTCCAAAAATATGCCAGTAAAAAATAAATAGATAAACTTGTAATATTAGAACTTTTTTAGTGAGAGGGTAAATCAGTAATGGAGTGTATTTATTATATGAAAAATAAAATAAATATTTTTTTAATGACATGTGTCATTAATTTAATTTATAGGAGGGCTTAATTTAAAAAACTAATGACATTTATGTGTATGCCATATAATTCTAATATATTTATATCTCTGACAATAAAATTCTACTTTTTTATGTTTGTACCACCAAATCTTTCATAAAATATGAAGTTTAGGTTAGATATGTAAATACATAAAAATTAAGCGGGGTATGTATTAAAGGGCTAAAGACAAACAGATAACATAAAGCTAAATAAATATAACTAATAATTAAACTAAATAAGTAGTTCAAATTAAAAGACAACATATTTGCTTTTCACTCCTAATTATATTTTAGTGATCAAAGGGGCGGAGAAATCGGAATGCTCACTTTATTTAATACTATTATGATTTATGCTTTTCACTCCTAATTATATTTTATTTTTATATCATTTTGTTATTTTGTTATTTTAATAAAAAAAATTTAATACTTTTATGATTTATATATTTTTAAAAACAAAAATATAAAATATTTTGTTTATTTTTGTTTTCTAAATAAAATCCAATAATTTTTTATAAAATGGTAGGATCAGTATGATCTCAAGTATTAAGTTCTACTGCTCATGGCGCATACATATTCGTTGTTCCACCCAATACAAAGCATTAATTGTAAGAGAGCGGGCGTACGAAAGGACAAAAGCTAGTGACACTGCCGTCTGTTGGCGGCGGTGGGAGGGGGGAGACAAACTGGGGCCAATGCACAGCGACGGCTATAGAGGCCGGCAACTAAACCTTGCACAAGCAATGCTTAAAAAAATATAACAACAAAAACAGACTCCATTTTTAATCTTTTAAAAACAAGCCTCATGTGTTCTAAAAATAAATAATAAATAATAATAAATAAATAAATAACTACTAATTTTTAGTTTTTTTTTTCAAAAATAAAAAAACAGAAAAGACATTTATATAAAAACCATATTTCAATCTTAGGATCAAATGAACTGAATACCAATCATTTTAAATTTATGTTCATTTATCAATCGATAATTAACAAAATTATTACAGCATAATTAATCAAAGGATCATGAATGAGTTGAGATTTATTGCATTAAACAAATGAGGGGAATCATAGAATTCAATGAAGAAGAACAAGAAACTTAATTCATATTGAAAAAGGTATGCTAAAAAGCTTATCAAATTTACTCAAGGGATGCACCAAAATCATCCTAATACAATAAAAAAAAATTAAAAAAATTAAAAAAAAGGTAATTACTTGCTATATGGGAAATATTTAAATGATATTAGTCCTAGATGAGGGCCTGAACGCCCAATTGTTGCATTTCTCGTAGCCTCCACACAGGATAGTATCCTCCTTCTCCGAGCTCTTCTGCGTCCACCAGTTGCATGGCCCAGCCATAATATACAGTTTGGATTGTATCCTGCAAGAAAACCATGAGTGCACCAAATTATAGAGCAATTTACATTTATATATTTACATATCTAACAACTAAACTTTCGTATTTACATGTATAACACTCAAATTTTTGACATTACATAGAAAATAAAATACATCTTTCCAAGCATAGTTTATGGCATCATCTTAGCTGTTGGATACATAAACACCTAAGAAATGTGTGGTATTTATGTAAATTTCCAAATAATAACCATTCTTTTTTTCTCTTCAAAATTTTCTCTTCTAGTCTTAGAATATTGTTGGGATAAATGTTAATTTAGTGCTTCCCTCCTAATCTCTCACCTCTATATCTAGCTCTTCTTCCTCAAACTAATCCCAAATTCATTCCTTCTCTACATCCTCCTAATTACTTTATATAGTTCCTAAACAGCATAACCAATCTCTCCAATTCCCTCCTAACCATAGTTAACCACCCCTCATCACCCAAGTCCCCTCATATCCAAAATCCCAAGTTAATAAATCTAATTTATTAAAGCTTTTCATATTACTGGTGCTTGGCCGAATGGTGGATCCCCAATTAATCCCCATGTGCAAATTTGAATCCCGTCTGGTCGAGGATTCGAACCCAAGTCGAAAGGGGACTTACGCAGAGCCGCCACCAACTCACCTACACCCGATACACAGATGGTGAACATGCCTACATATCTATCATATATCCTCTACTCATGCATATCTTATGCTGATAGCTATGATCACCAATCTTAAAGAGTGGTCAACAAAGTTGATGCCTTGATGAATAAGCTTAATAGCTTGATTGAATAAATTATGAATAATTGTTGGCAACCTCCATTAAAATGGTAAAGTTCCACAAGCCCCGCAAGTTCCACCTACTTTGAAAACACGCAAGTCAAACTCCCAGCAACCATATTAGCAATCCCATAAACTTCATTAGAGGCTCAAATGTCTATTGGCAAAGAAATAATACCATTTTTAAATGAAAATATCAAGTAAAACTTAGAAGCATTCTCAGAAGTCCCTTAATTTGAATTATAAAGATTAATGTACTATAGGGCCATTGATAGTTTTAAGTTTTTAACCCGGCTTAGAATGATTCAATTAACTCAAACACAATTCATTGTGATTTGAGCCAACTCAACTAGCACAAAAATTAATGCCAAGTAAGCCTAAATATTTTGACTTCAAGTTTATAACGAATTACTTGAATTTGTCGCCACTATCACACTCAAGAAAACAATAAATAGTTATGATATATGAAGATATATAAGTGGATGAATAGTATCATGCAAGGTTATTTAATATTCATGCATAAATATTGATCAAATTGAGGTAGAACATTCATCATTACTTCTCCTTAATTTATCAAAATATTAATCATTTTATTACAAAAAAAATATTTGAATTAGAATCACTTCAATGATAAATGATTCAACATGCGAGTTGATTGAACTCAAAGAATTGAGCTCTAAGCTCGATTGATCAGTCAAGCTCAAGTTCAAGCATCGTGGCTCGAGCTCGAGTCAGCTCATTTACATCTCTAATGCTGCTTTGCCCACTTGACCAGATTCACCAGCTTCATTCATGACCGCACATTGGACACATTATATCTTAAACTCTAGTGCACATTGCAGTCATGTCGGCATGCTATACCATAGCTCCAGTGCAGGTCACATTAATATAGAGAGATGACGCAGGACGCTATAACCGGGATTCTGCAAGCGTGGATCCCGCTGATCATGGATCAATCCCCCGAATGAGGGACTATAGAGGGGCAGCAGAGCCGCCTGATTTCGTTCTGTCAGCATATTTCTTTCCAATTAATTTTTCTTGTTTATTTCTTTCTAAGTAGGTTAGTTGTTATTGGGAAATTATTTAAATATTGTTATTTTCTTTTTTTTTTTTAACTTTTGGCTTGTTTTTGTGTTTCTAGAGATTGTGCTCTCTGAATTCTACTTTAAGTAGTGTTGTATCATCTTTATTTCGCAAGTGGATTATTTGTATCTTGCTCAAAAACAAATTGTGAAACCTCCTCAACACCTGTATCTTGCCATTTGCCGCTCTACCCACTGTTTTCTGTCACCATCAAACATGCTTCCAGCTGCAGGTTACAGCAAAATATCACAATTTTCTCGCTTCTGGTTTGCTGTCCAGCCGCCTATAACCTTGCCGACTCGCTGTTGAACTACTGTTTTCAGTCTGGAGAGTCGTCATGCTCGCCCCATCTGCTGCCCAATAGCAGATTTATCGTTCCTATATCCTTCCAATGTCATCAAACTCTCCAATTTCATTCCCTCTTTATTCCACAACCACTTCACGCTAAATCCCTTTCTAAATACCTTTTAATAGATATAGAACGGTATCATCTGGTATCAAAGCCCAAAAAACCCTAAAACTTTAGGGATTTACCATTCCCATACCAACCTAAAATTTCACATAACCTAAACCATTGACCAACTAAATACTCTAGCCATCCCTACCAAGATTTCTAGCCTTGAACCTAAAATTTTTAAACTCAAACTTTCTTACCTCCACCAAAGTTTCACCCTAACACCTACTACGAAAACTCAAGTCCCAACCAATCTTGATTTGCAATTCGACATCCGAAGAAAGCCTTGATCGAGAGAAAATTACACAATGCAGTCTAGGAGAAATATGAAAAGAGATATCCAGAAGCTTATTATGGAGGATATGCAACGGAAAATCCTCCAACTGTAACGGAGGCTTGCAACCTTTGGGAGGAGACAATCCGGTGAAATTACCCATCACCACAACAGTGACTCGTCATATCAAGAAGATGAAATGAAACCCTTATATTAGGTAATTTCCAATGAAGAAAAACCAATACCTCGGAAATTTTGCATTAAATATCAAAGAAGTATGAATTTTGGAGCAAAATTTGACTTATCGAATTTTGATAGTCGCATGGATCTAGACGAGTTTATTGAGTGAATCCAGACAAGGGAATGGGCTTTTGAGTATAAAGGATATTTCACCTAACAAAAGGGTCAAGCTAGACGCTACTAAGCTAAAGAAAAATATTTCTTTATGGTGAGAGAACCTGAAGTATCTTTGACAATGAGAAGGAAAGAGTAAAATTATTACATGGTCCAAGATGAATGAGAGACAACGCAAAAAACTGTCAAGATATTACAGACATAACAGGTTCTTGAGGCTCATGCCTACAACTGCAATATCTCTCGGTAGACGAGTACAACATTGATTTTGAGCAGCTTATGTTCAAGTATGGGCTAGTGGAGTCTGGAGAGAACATTTTGGCTCGATATCTATGAAGATTGAGACCATTCATTGTAAACATGGTACAATTACAACCCTATTGAACATTATAGGATGTTCAAACGCTAACTTCAAAATTGGAGAAACATCACCGGGTACTGCCACACTACAGGATCAAGCAGTAAGAGTACACCAAGTGAAGAACCCAAGTCAACAATAGCCTGAGAAGAAACTAGTTCGGAGTAGAGAACAGGTGTAGTCAATTAGCACTCTAAGATTCGTCTCAGCCAGGATGTGCTTCAAGTGCGACAATTTTTGTAATAAAGAATCAGATTGCTCAAACAAAAGAATGATATCTTCCACGAAGCAAAGAGAAGTTGAAGAAATGAACTATCACATAGAAGAGGAAGAAGATGCAAGAGAGAAGTCTCAGCTTTCATTCAACAAGGAAGAGATGCTAATAGTTCTAGATGAGCGCATGAGAGAGCCGTTTACAGGACTACCATTAGTTGCCCTACAAAGTAGAGAGTCTGCGAAGCTGAAACCGGAAAAGGGTCAGTCCTTGTTGAGAGAGTTTTCGAATATCCTGACAATCTGAGCGGTTGCCACTAAGAGCGGTTTAACATGCTACATATTTCATCCCAGGGTTGGTTCTCCTTGGCAGACTTGTTTATCATATGCACCAAATCGAGTACGATGAGTGAGAGAAGAATGTTACAAAATTAATTGCTCGAACTTGGTTAGTGAGAATACACGTCAAAGTACAGTTTCAGCTCTGATCGTTCCAAAGATGATGGCAATTTATTCTATCAAGACAGTCTTTAGAACTACGTATGTGTTTTGGAGTTACAGGGTACGAATGTGAGCATAAATTTATAGTTGGGTTGTCTTAGACATAGCAAAAGAATGATTTTGTTATGGGGATGATAGATCGATTCTAGAAGCTTCTAGCGAAGAAGATGAAATCCTTCCTATCCGAGTTGAAAAACCCGGGGCGCTACAGTTGGGATTTAGCAAAGTCACGAACCTTGTTGATCACAGATCAATCCTGCGACTACGGGACTATAGAGGGGGTCAAATAGCAGCATGATTTCCTTCTATTTCAACATATTTCTTTCCTTATGATTCCTTATTTCTTTCATAGTTGGTTATTTGCTGTCAGAGAACTACTTATAATTAGGGCTGTCAAAAAAGCTCGTTGTTCGCGAACAGTTCGTGTTCGGTTCGTCAATGAGTTCGTGTTCGATTCATTCGATAAGTAAACGATACAAACGCGAACAAATTTTTTTCGTTCGGTTAGTTAAACGAACCAAACACGAACAGTGGTGCGTTCGTTCGTGTTCGAATCGTTATTGTTTGAAATATAAAATAATATAAAATAATCATATATAAAAAATTTATTATATTTTAAAACATTAAATTTTATAAATTATAATATATAATAAAATAATAATAATAATAATATATTAATATACTATAGTAGTAATATACTAATATAGATATTGTATATTTATATAATATAAGTTATATAATTAATATATAA